ATTTACGCATTTTACAACCCTGCACCAGGATTAACAGCGTTGTTACAAATAACTAATAGGAGTTGCGACATTTTGTTGTGATTCACACTGGTCATAAAGGTACTTAGGTTTGGCGCCAGTTTATTGTCTTCATCACCAGTCTGGAGGATGGATCCAGTGGTTGCCAGGTGCAATACCGCTTTGTCAGCACTATTGCCAGGCAGGGATTCTATATATCCATCTTCAGGATCAATGTATGCTGTTATTGTATCAGCACACAAGCTAAAGCTTCATTCAGATCACCTTAACCTTGTCCCATCCTCAAAAAATAATCATCAAATCATTCTGGCACAATTCAACAGAACTGAACAGAATATAACAACATATCGTAACACATAAAGTTTTATTTGGTAGGACTGGGATCAGGCTCCAGATTAGCATAACATTCATATGGGCCATGGTGCCTGATACCCATATGTTTGTGGGCATAATTGTAATTTCTGGAAATAGTTAAATCAGATTGGTAAATCAATTCAACATAGTTTTCTTACCTACATGACTATATATTTCTCTCTGCCAGAGAGAAATATGAGTAAGTTCTCTTTCTTCCAGAGAGTAATATAAGGTTGTGTACCCAAGAAAACTATATGTTGAAACTGTATGTTGAAACAATCATAATTACTTTCAAGTTGATGACAAAACTTATACAGTTGGAAAAAGGGGACTGTACCTTCGGCAGCCTTTCTGGGTCTCCTGGATGCCTGGGCACCAACTTTGCTAGCCTCTGAAAACCGTAGTCTATCGTTGGCTCGTTCAGTGCTGTGAAGAAAAAAAACACCAGAAAACCTTCAAAACAATAGAAATTTAAGTACATATTGTACATGTACAACAACATCTAATTCATTCTTCTAAAAAATGCCTTAACGCTAAAAATTCCACCAATCATTGTAAAGGCACTTCCTTATCCCATACTTCATAGTTTTTGTAAGGTAGATAAGTCTCCTAGTATGTTTGTTGTTATATAGTGGTAGACACAATATGTTGTACCTTGTATATTGTACATTTAAGTTTATTATCTATTTTATTGCCTTGTTTTATAATATTTATAAAATTTATGTTGAGAAAAGTTCAGTACAAAGGATAGGCAAAAATGTTTTTTCTTCAATTAATTACTCAGAATTTAAGAGCATGATGTTTTCAAATGGTTCCCTTAAAGATGATGAGAGAGTAAATCTTGACAGTAAAGCTTGACAGTGGAAAAAATAACTCTTTGATAATATGGTAACTAATATGCGAACTTGGACTTCTCTTCTATTTTCGGTTCTTGTTATAACCCTGTTGTGCATGTTTCTTTATCAGCCCTTTCACTAGAATTAATATTCCCCATGTAATTGCATGATACCATCATAGACTTAAAATGATTTTATGCATAACGCTAGAAAGGCTGTTGCACCAAAAAAATCCACATTGTCCTCCTACTTCAAAGCTCTGGAATGGATTAAGATGAAAGCATGGGTCGACTGAGGCAAGTCCCCTGTGATTTGATGGTGGCACCCTGGCAGCGCCTAACCCATCAAATACGAATTTCCCAGCTAAGGTTCAGCCATCTTAATCGCGGTGACACTGCGAGGGACAGATCCGGTCCAGTTGCCTATCACACACAACTCAATTTCACACCAAGATGAGACTGGAGATGGATCACTGTCAATAATATTGGTGCCGATAATTACACGCTGTGCCTTAATCCAATTCCCCCTAATCCTTGATTTGCAAACTCCCAACATCAAACGGAATTGGTAATTCTGCTGGTACATGCAGCTCATTTGGAGGGGGGGGGGGCTGGAGTGCAGGAGAAAGAGGGTTACAATGGAAGTTTGATTTATAAAACTCTATTCGTGCTGTCTTCAGCAGTTTAATTTTTGGATGACCTAACCAACTTACATCTTTCCATAGCATCATTTTGGCTGATGTGATGACATCATATGGTCCAATGACATTTAACACTTTTGTACTGAAATGTGATACTTTCCAACATGATCATCACAAGAACCAGTAAAAAAACAAACTGGACAAAACCAGTCACAGACACGTCTTTTTTTCTTTCGTCATTCTTGTGCTTTGGTTTAAGTTTTGAACATCTAGCTAAAGCTGAATTTATTCATCATTGTGAGAGAGATCATTGCAGCACAGATGGCATCTAATTGATATTTCATGGATATAAGATACATCATCATCTGTTCATAATGAAACTTACCGAAGGTTGTTAGTTTATATTCCAAATGAGGAAGGAACTTTACATTACATGTACTTGAATCAAAATATTATTGAATGCTATGACAGTAAGTTCAGGACAGATTTAATGACAAAAAATACAATTAAAGAATATGCTATTTGAAAGTTGTTAACCACTCTCAATCAAGTCCCGCAGAAATAAAACCCTACTATAGTACATGTGTATCTGAGTGCAATAATGTAATAATGGCAAGGCATCTGTGACGAGATTGAACCAACTGGAGTGCCATTGTACACCAATGACTGAAACTTCGGCTGTGTTGGATCTTGTATAACCATTTAGCTCAACAGAGTAATCAGTGAACGTTTAGTAAATAACACCCGATCAATCATTTCTGCATTTTGACAGAAGAGAAAGCATCTAAGACAGTGGTTTGTGTGGTCTGACCATGGCTAAATGTCAACCAATGTTTTAATGTGTGTGGTGTATGCACAGGAACACAACAGAAAATAAAGTCATTAGGCATAATGACTTGATGAAACCATTCTTCATTCTGGATGTGAGTGACAGGGGAATGATGGACAAGGTAGAACACCAATAACCTGGGTAGAGACAGCATGATTTAACAGCATCCTGGGACAGTAATTGGACCCCTTACTTGGAGGTAGCAGAAACTCTATTCTGTAACACTTCCAACAAGCCTTTTACAGGGGATGTGGCACACAATAGAAAGAAACTGGAAGATTACTAATATTGATGGGCAATAACAACACCATTTGTCAAGTGTTGTCACAGCATCTGTCACAACTGGGGCCCAATTCCTGCTGTAGAGCTGGAGAACAAACAGCACCTGGCTTGATATACTGCTACAATAAATTTCCAACAAAGCAAACATGTTTCTTCATGCAGAAAGGAGTTCAGGGTACAAGGGCATTGCTAACCATTGCCGAACTTGTCCCTGACTTCTGGTCGGGCTGTATTTTTCTAACCAGCTTTATGGCGCGGTAATACATCCAGCCACGGCTGGGCATTGTAAAGGCGAAATAAAAAGTCATTTCGCATCCACGGGCCCATTTCCTTTTGCAACTTCACTTTCCCCAGTTGGGAGATTCTGACCTACTCCACTTCCACTTCTGCAAATTTTCAATACACCTGACAATGTTGGCCACCTTCAGATAGTAATGATGTGGTGTAATGAAAGAGAGGTGGAGAGCAATAATTACTGCATTTCCTATACACAGGCCTGTTAAAATATCTTCCATTGCAGTTCCCTTGGTGCCATCCCCGGTCACAGGGTCAGGATTTTGCATAATTCCATTTTGGAAATGAAGGATGCTCAGTGAAAACAAATTTGGGGTGTCCTCCTCGTGAACCCTTTTTCTGAACTTTGATGGAGGTGATAAACCTGACAAAAGCTGTGTAATTTAAAGTCCTAGCTGTCATAAAAGTTGGTTCCAAGCAATCTGATTAATATTTAGACGTATTAATATTTAATTTGGGATCTGACAAAATTTGAAGTTCATCCAAAGGTGAAAAGCTTGTTTCCAGGTCATTTATACCGTCATAAAGTGCACATAATTCTATTGTCATCTCACTGGTGACGATCATAGCCATTACAAACCACCTTTACCACATATAGGAGTCAGTTAGCATTTTCCCTCCACTTACTGTCTGCCGTGTAATTTTAGAAACAGTAGGGGTATGGATTGTCTATGTTCCCCCACAAGCTTCAGAGTTAGTGAAAAGGAAATCATGTTTAAAAAATCTTTCTTTTTTAATTTGAAGATTTGCAGATTTTTGCCAGGCTACTTTTCATTTTAACCATCCAGTAGTTTTAACAAGTCCTAAATATTTTTGTTACGTCTCCATGCACTGCAGTGTGGAGAAGATTTGTGGATGGTATTTGGGTATTTTGTGTTCTTTAAAGTTCTGTTATTTTAATATTATACCGTAAATATGGAAGTTGGAACAAATAGGCACTTATTGCTGCATCTGTTAATACACATCATCATGTAATTCTTGTATACTGTACACAATGTTTTTATGAGACATTTTAAATGGTTACTTAATATGCTTAAATGTACTTCTATATTTCCTTCTACTTTTCTTTAATATTATTGTGCTCATATTCAGAATGCATGATGGTTATCTTGGTACATGCAGCAGTGGAAATACTAGTAGGCTTCGTCAAGCAACATGTCCCATTTAGTCAAATGTGCGTCATCACACAATTTTCTCAAATGTTAAGGGATGCCTGGTGATTGCTGACAGGAAAAAAAGATTGCATGATAGTAGCTAGAAAATGGGCTATCCATTCTGTCCAATTTTTATTCTCCATATCTTCACAAGGGCCAATCCGATCCAATGTTTTCTCCTAGATCATTTCATTTTTCATTTTATTTATCTTACCAGGGGAGAACACTCAGGTCATTTGACCTGTTTTTCTATGTAATCCATGGGGTACAATTAAAAAACCTGTAACAATTCTATACACAGCATCATCACATTAGGAACATTTGGAACAACAATAGTTTTGCTTAGGCCATACCAATTTGATTTGCTGATATCTGCAGGAAATCAATGAAGTGGGTGGATGAAGAAAAACAGTCCTGGGTATCCTGTGATAGCCCCAAAATGCTACCACAGGAGCCACAAACAATGAATTTTGAATATAATCAATGCATTAATAATTGGAAACAACTTTTCAAGACAAGAACTTTCTTCAACTATCAGTGCCAAAATATAAGAATTTTGGGTTTGATTCCGAATGTGAATGGTATATTATATATTTTTGTTTTGCAAATCAGAAAAACAATTGGTGAATCCAAAAATAAACAAAAAATATATTGGTGTGGCCCTACACAAGTCATAGTTTACTCCTCCCTTCCCTGGAAAGCTAACTACTACTTACATGTGTAGACAAATCTCCCAGGTGCACCCTTGCAGAACTGTTTGGACTTGTACGACAATGTGACTTCCACAACACCAGGAATGTGCCGAGGTGGTGTTTGCACCCGAATCGCATGTGGTGTAATCAGCTGCAAAATAAGATCAGTAACATCATATAACACTTCAATGTCACTATTTTTATTTCTAACATTCAACTTTAATGTTACAACAGTGCCTACAGCGTACAGTCTGGTGTTTTAACTATCATGAAAACTTCCTGCCAAAATTAGCACCAGTACCCAACAGTGTTGCTTCCCTGTTATAAATCATTAAATATTAATTTTCCTAGGTCTGAAAGATTTCAAAGTCACATTAATTTTATGGCAGGCTGACAGTTCATAGCATGATATTCAAGCGTGTTTGTTATCTTTCCTCTGCTGGAAATTTTAAACACACCATATGTGCTGCAGCAGCAGGTACAATGCTGTAAATTTTTCATGAGCGCTAACCTAAAAACTTGGGCTCATGGTTAATCTAGATAATTCTGTCTGCAGAGGCACACTGCTCTGTAAGTACTCATATTACATCTATTGTTGCCACTTTTTCTAGGAAATTTATGACTCATTTCGCGTGTGTGTGTGTTAATCCCATAAAATGAAAGTGCAGTGTACACTTCCCTATTTCAGTTGAACATATCTTTCCCTGCCCGAACATTGCCTTCAGTGAGAAAAGCTCAGACCAGGCATTGACTGAGCCTCCGGAGCTTTAAGAGCTATCCTGCGTGGGCTGTGAACTTAGTGCAAGCAGCCTACAAAGCCCCATATGGTAGGGAGGTGACAGCCTGGGATCATTTGCATTTTCTGCTTATTCAAAAGGCTGCATGAAACTTTCATGTGACAGAAGGGCGGGCCAAAACTTCACATGACGTCATTATATATTTATGGAACCTTCATCAAGCAAAGCCAGTGTCACTTCTGTTGCTGTCACCTGCACCTGATCTCAGGGGCATCTGCATGATAAGAATATTTTGGAGCTAATATCATGTCTACTGCCAAACATACCATGAAGTTCTAATTCCACCACTCAAGCCCCGGTCCCTTTCATCTTTCCCACCGCTTGGAGATATTGCCAAAGATATTATGGTATAATGTTACGGTAGGAATTAATTTAAATGGAAATGCTGGCGTCCTAATTTGGGGTACAGCATGGACTCCTGGCAGGCCTCAGAGCAATAAATTTAGGTCCATAATCTTGTTTTCCTATTTATTGTTAGTATTGTCTGCCGTTACTGTGCCTCGCTTTTGCCATAATTCCGTGTAACCAAATTACTGCAGTAAAAAGTCATTTTTTCTGTTGTCAGAGTCACTTGCTTTTATTTTTGTCTGCTATGAAATTGTTAAGTAGGGGTCACGACAGGAATCCATCTGCTGATTAAAACCCAAGATAATGGGGGAAATCTGCTTTAATGAGGATAGGCATGCATCTGCCACCATGACTGAGTATTTCTGACATGTGAATCTCACACCAGAAGCAAAGTCACTGTTTTATTTAGTGCATATTGGAAACAAAATCCCCGTGTTTAGGCTGACTGCAAAATATGATGAGTGACATCCCGGCTTTGGAAAATCCTCTCTTAATCTTCACTTGCTTTTAGGAAAATCCCGGTCCAAACTAGGTATGATTTATGTGGTGGCTGGGAGCACGATCAATGACAAACAAGGTAGTGAGGTGCTTCTGTCGCGACAAAAATCAATGGTGACTGGAACTCGGCCTGCCACAAATCATAATGGACTACAGAAATAGTTACATCAGCAAGATAACTGGAAAGATTATTGGCGTAACACCGTAGCAAACCAAGCAGAACATTGGCAAGGTACTGCATTGAGCCCGGTCGCCATGGAGACAGATGCAGGTGGAAAATAAGCTGTCACACTCAAGCAGGGAAGGATTTTGTGTGCCGCCTTCCTTCCTCGATACCACGAGACATAGTGGCACCCAGGCTTGCACCCGGCGTAGATTGGGGTTTAGATTGGACTGATGAAGCTGCTATTGTGGTGACACATTTACAGCCCAAGCCTACATCTTCAGGCTTTCATGTCAACTCCCACAGTTGACAACCTCTGAGCTCTGTGCCTGACAAGCTTTGTGATGAAGTGAATGCCATCTCTAATCAACTCCGTCATTCCTCCACACAGGAAGCTTTGATTTAGATGTCCAATTTACTTGCACTACACAACAAAGTGCACAAAATGAACCTGTTCAGGGGTGTCTACAAAACATGGGCCTATCACTGGCTCTGTATGATGTAAAACACTGATGAAATAACGAGGTACCTTCTGCATGATTTTCCTTCTTACATTCATAAAAAAAGAGCTGAAAACCAAGTTGAGAGTTTAACAGGCCATGTCCAACGGTAAGGCTAGGATGGCCAAAGTGTACCTCATTTTTCAGTTTCCTTAAATGTGGAATTCTAAGAATGCCCTTTTCTCCCTTTCTTGTGTAGTTGCATAAAATGTCTATTGGTATTTACAGCAAAATTTTTTTGGGAGAACACAAATTGGTTTTTGTGCTTGTGTTTTGAACGGAAGTGTGCTGAACTCTACTCAATTTTTCATGACCAGAGTTTTCCTTTAACAGAAGGTCCTACAATGTACATGTGGGTGCCATTCTGCTTTGACTACATCCACTCAAACAGTCATAAGCAAACTATAATCTGAATGTAAGTATCAGCTGTCCCAGATTAGTAGAAACTTTATGGATTATGGATATAATACTAACAACGCCAAAATATTTCTGTGGGAGTCAGCAATTGCCTTCCTTCTAGTGGCTCACTCTGCTAAATGTAGAGAGACTTCCATCTAGGGCAGACTTACCTCACTCCATACCAGCATTGTACCAAACACAACTTGTAAGCCGTCAAAGAAGTTGTCACCGATGATGATGACGGTAGCACCTCCCGTCGTCCAGCCCTCGCTCGGACTGATAGCTTTGATACAGGGTGTGGCTGTGGACAACAGAAGAACTTGTATTACAACATGATCATCTCTTAAGTTTTAGAAATGTAGGACCTGCCAGCTGGAATAAGCTACCACACCAAGACTTTGCATCACCTTAAGCCTTCCATGCCACCTTCAAAAGTGTCATTTACAAAAGACAACCGTGTAAGGATTCTCCATGGCTACATGTGTTAATGACAACAGAATATCAAAGATAAAAAGTTGTTGACAGCAGCTGAAAAAAATGTCAGTCAGGAACAGGATAACAGAAAGGTTAGGTGCTCACAGCCATCTCTCTCTGCCCTGTGGTGCACACCATTTTGTTCTCTAGTAAGGCCCAGGAAAAAATATTGTGTTTCTGATTTCAGTCCTATGAAAAATTTGGTCCGTAGATACAAGATTCTTTTTTTTTTAAAGATTTTTGCTCATCCAATAAATACACAATGTTAAACTAAAATGTATCAAGACCAGGGCTGTCTCCAGGACCTGTCTGTCCCTCTGTTTGATTGCTGCAAAGAGACAAAAATTTCACCTGATTTACGCTATAAAAATTCTAAAAATGTGTGAAATCATATTTTGGGGGTCTGAAATTCAGATGTCAGGTTTTTCAGATGTCTTTATATTTTCCAGCAGTCGACCCCCCAAACAAGGCTAGGGTCGGCAGGTTTTTGATAGTATCGGTCAGGAAACCAGAAATACAACATTTTTCTTTCTGTAGGCCTAACAAATGAAGGTGTTGAAAATGAAAGATGTGCGGCTGACTGCACGAGCTTGTGACCTTTTCTGCCAGCTGATAAAGATATTACGAGAGAGAAGAACCAAAAGTTACCATAGAGATAATTTCAGAAATACTGCCATCTTCTCAAGAAGACTGTCTCTGAGCACTAAGTCCCATTAATATATGAAGCTCTTTGTACAGACATTTTCAAATTATTTTATAATTCTAGTTTCTAGTACCCATTCCTTCACAACCTCAGAGAATTATTTATCCAGTTGCTTAAATCAGCCTTGATATATTTTGTATTACATAATCTTCTACCTAGCGTACCTTTATAAGTTCTACGCAGGAGTATTGATTCTGAACAGGCAAACATTACAGTGAATTTTTCACATACTATCTACTGCAAACAAGGCAGACCACTTACGCTAACTTCTTCAACTTTACTACCGAAAAGGAAACAATTTTCACAGCATGGCATCTTCCCTCCCACACTAGTAGTACATGTCCTCCCTGTGAAAGTTTAACTTTCTGCCAGCGGGGGAGCCCGCCACAAGTGGAGCTTGTATAACCCCAACAGGCCTCCAACTCCTCTGACCTGACATACAGTTGACGCACACTCCATCTTTCCTTCATCATTTTGGTTTCTTACCTGCATCGTTTCCGGCCTTCTCATTCTTTTATCTGTTTGGCCAATTCTTCACTAGATAATGACTGCCCATTACTGTTCTGGCGCTGGGTGGAGATAACTAAGTTATCCATCATCTCATCTCCTACCTCCCCAGCCCTAATCACTTCCCAGTAAGACAATCTGCTGCAAGTCAGCAGCCCTTGGCAAGAGTTTAGACTTTTCCCTGCTAAATGCCTGCTCCAACAAGCCAGGGGGTCTCAATCTCTAATTTACTTCCACGGATGACAGACGGCTAAATAAAATCTTCACTGTGACCGAAAGGTCAAATTACTTCAATTTGCATAGTGGCGTATTTGCTTTTACAGTCCGGAGTTATAGGCGATATAGAAAAATCAAATCTCTGATATGAGTCAAATGCTTCCTGGGTAATCCCGAACAGAGCTTTGTAAAGCTGACTTTACTTGAAATTTATTCTACCAATTTGTATGCTATGATAATGCTCGGGCCATTCCTATATACATCCACAGTTGCTCACCCTAACAGGAAGGCTAGTGACATTGAATATCAGGCTACAATGGTGCTTCTATTCTGGAAAATGCTATAAAATGCTTTTGTGAGATGGTAGGTACAATTCTGTTCAAGTTTTGCAGTTAACTGTCATCATTACAGGGATTCTTTTTTTGCAATATGAATATCAACCAAGTGTTTGAAATTACCAATTTTAAGGGGAGAAATAATAAGAAAAAGCAGGCCTAGAGGCAGAACAGAACAGAAATTTACTATAGGTTGAAACTGCAGGTGTAGCTTTATTACTAAGAGAGGGATTACAAGAAAATTTGAACAGAAATAAAGGTCAAAATGGTTTACCCTTCTGCACTCTATTTATGTTGGAGTCTCCACAGAAAGACATTTCTCCATCTGTATAGAAATAAACAATGGTATTTCATAACAATGTCCACTCAAATCCTCATAGAATCAACATGAGTTCTGCTGGAACAAAGTTCAAATCAAAATCCTTTTCCACAGCAAATTAATATGATAATGTAAGGGATAGTGTTGACTTGACACTACTTGTCTTTCTCCATGTTCAATTCATTCATAGATTTGACTGCTAACAATAAACCACCGCCTATGATTTAAATTGCTAAACAAATAACGTTTTACTCCGACACAGCGGAAACAACGGGAATCTTCCTTATTCCCTTCTACCTTTTCAACACCTCTACTTAAGAAGCCACGTTGGAATTTCTGACAGTTATCCCTTGAACCCTACATAATGCCTCTTTCCCTCATTACTGCTACTCCTCTTGTGTGGGTATTCATCTATCAATCGATAACATGGCATTTGATGGCAATTTGATTTCTTTGGTAAAGAACTTTTGGTTGTTCCTAAACCATTAGTGGCAAAAACCATAGATAATCTGTCCAAAAGGTCCTAAAATACTGTCTGGCCTCCCTTGTTAGGTTTGTTCCCCCAGAAATGCATCCATCTCCCAATAACAGCAGTGGCACTTGATGGACACTGCTTCTAATGAGACCAAACTATGGCAGTCTATCACCTAGAGAGGGCTGTACATTTTTTATGCTCAAATTTATCACTGTAGGCTCTAACAAGTATCTGTCTCAGGCCTTGGTATTGGCATCTAATGTTACCATCAAACCATGTGGGAACAGAATCATGGGCAGATCAAGCTGCAATGTGAAATAAATGTAACTCCTTTGTCCATCCACTGACAATTAGAGCTGTACAGTGTTCACCTAGAACAGTGTATCAAAAACATGCTGTGAGTGGACAAGGATTCAGGTTGGCATTGAGTCCTCTTCTTTAAATACTTGAGGAAAAAAGGCAAACACTCTAGTGCCCTAACTTCAGCAAGTGGAACACTGTCAGAGGCTTGGGTATGAAGAGGCAATTAGAACTGTAGTGTTCACCTAGAAGCTATATCAAAGCTGGCTGTTGGCATGGAGTCCTCTTCTTTGCATACGTGAAAAAAAAAGATCTCTCTTGACTTAACTTCAATTCAGCAAGAGGTTATGGGGATTCTAAGAGGTTATGGGGATATGTAGAAAAACTTCTTTGGGTTGAAAATATACAGAACAAAATAATAAGTCAGGCTGTGACTTGCAGCATCACTTGCTTTCTTCCAATTAATTCAGTTCCCACATCATTTGACATCTACAACTTTTCCCTAAGATGTTTTGCTTGATTAAGACAGGAATGACTACATACTGAGCATGTGTTAAACTTAATACTAATCAGTTATATTTCTTATTTATGTTGATTCCTCCCTGAATTAGCTTGGACTCCTACCATTTTAGCTTTAGCAAGCTTTCTCTCTGTTGAGAGAGCCTACTAAAGCTAAAAAGGCTGGTTATCCAGGCTATGATTGAATCATTGACAAAAAATAGCAAGATCTCTAATTGGTTTACTTTTTAAGTTTGAGAAGAATGAAGCAGGGATGAAGACAAGGTCTTTTAACTCCTCATTTGCTGCACCTGCCAACCACCTGCTGAGGGGTTGTGATGGAAATTCCCTACAGTACTGCAAGGAAGCCTGAATTGGACATCATTGGCATATTCTGTTGGAACAACAAATCCACTGCGAGCTTATTAAGCCAAACTAAATTGCTCAATGTGCCAGCCTACCAGTATGTGGACCCTAAATAGGATTTGCTTTTCATTATGAAGTGCTACTCATACACAGGGTTATAACAAAGCTCTGTGGGAATTTTTCCTCAGATAAACAGACTGTGTTCTTCCATGCCGATGGCAAATGTGGTGCTACATCTCTGGGACACAGGAATATCTCTGCTGTGCTTTACTTAAAAATTGCTTCCTGATGAGAGGTAACTCTGTCAGTGTCTGGGCCAATTAGAACTAGGCTTCATAACAAATCCCTAACCCTGAGAGGTACAATACATGTAAGCTGGGTTCTCTAAAAAATGAAATGTGGTGCACGGTCAACTTCAAAAGAAAAATCTTGTTCTGCAACAGTAGGGTTAACCATATTGCACAATGACAGAGATGGCAGATTACACACAGCACTGCTATACTATCAAACAGCCTCCACAGGTTATTGCTCAAATCCCTTAGCTTCATTATCAGAAATTACAGGGATCAAGGGAATGACTTTGGTGATACCATTCCGAGACCACTTCTCTCCCAGCATGGCATGCTACGATCTTTTGTCAAAGGCTGTTGATAGAATAATAATGGAAAAATAATCTGCTCTTTTGGCCTGAAGTCCAACAACTTCCATTAGCTTTCCTTCTTCTGTCTCTGGGACCAGGATTAAAGTGTACAGCTAAGAGCAATGATTTCCATCGAGCTCCCTCCAACAAACAGCTGACGGGAAATTGAAGTCGAACTTTCCCATGTTTGACAACAGCTTCTCAAAAGCCCCCAGGCCAACCTTTCCAGGGTGCTTCCGTCTGATATTTTCTCCCAAATGTGCCGGGGCTCCAAACATCCGCCTCGAGCTCATGACACCAACAACTGCAAATCTGAATAGAATGTGTGTTCCTCGGCCACATGATGAATGCAATCTTTCACATAAGATGGCAAGTTTTTACCGCTGATGAGTCTTCAGGAACCCGAGCTTTTAAGGGCAAAGAGAAAAGCAGTGGACCTTGTTGTTGTGTTGTTTAAAACAACCTGTCCCCTAACACATTGGGGAGGACTGTGATGGATGCTGGTATTCATGGGACTTTCACACTTCTTCCCTTTAAAGACTTTTCGATTGAGTTCTTAAGACTGTCTGACAACATTACTCCTGCTACTTGCATCAGGGAATACTAGATTGTGGGGATAGTTTTACACTGTAAGATTAGGACTCTCTAAACAAGATACATATAAGGCTAGTTAAGGCTTCCCTGTGCAGTAATGTCAGAGCAGCTCCTATTTCTTGTAACATATAATTTTGAAAATTCCCTCATATTTGACTTTGTGCTTCTGACAACTCTGCAGCTTAAGGTTGAAGCTGTACCGATTAACCTGTACAAGTGTTTCAACAGTCCGTCCTGTATGATGGTAAACTCTTCAGCTAAGAAGCTTTGACAGTGTAAACCAGGAAAAGGCTCTTCATATCTGGAAACTTAATTCACTCTTAAAAATCTAACCCTGAAAAAATATGTCTTTTGCCAAAGCGTCCTTGTCACACAACAACAAGGCCTTTTTTAATAATATTGCCTGCAAGCGATGCACACTGATACGTCTTCCTCTTAGCAAGAGCAACATTAAATTGGATAACTTGAGCCGAGTTGTCAAGACTACAGGCCGACAGACATGGAACATGTGCCCAAGCAGCATACCTTCTGAGGGGTCCAGACGTCTGGCCCGTCTTCCATGTTTGGAGTTGTTGTGCACAAACATGTTGTCTGACACGGCCAACACGTGGCCATCCACATTCACTGTTGTGGCAATGACGACCTGGAAGAAGAATGTAACACAGCAGACTGTTAGGCATTTCCTACACATTCTCTGTCCTCGGGCAAGAGAATTTTTGTCATTGACGGTAAGACATAGCAAAAGCTGAAGACCATATTTACCCCGGTGAGGGGAATAACAGCCATGATAATTAATGAGTTTAGATGTTTGTCAAATTCAGGGACTTGAGTCATGTTGAGACATATAAGAAAGTTAAATAAAGTGTCAACAATGCAACAGTTCATCATTGACATCTATTTATAAAAATTAACCATATAATATAAGACTCCACTTGCCCAGCCCTATTACAAAAGTGGCAAAATGCAAAATAATGCAATTACTTTATGAACCAAATTTTTGCAAGTTCCTTAACCTCAACTCTTATCAATAAATAACCAGACCTGTCAATTGTGCTCACCACAACTTGCACATGTTCCCCTTTCATTCTCTTTCAATCATATTTTTAACTAGTGAGATCACATTGATGGCCAATCCTTGTAACCATTGCCATGGGGGTTATATTTTTACCAGCAGTTTTCTGGTTGCTGATGAGAGTTGTCATCAACAACTAAGGTTGTTTCACAAACTAAAAGGCTAAGAGGGCTCTCTCTGCACTAGCCTTACAACTCATCTTTAGCCAGTAGTCTCTCCTACTTAAGTGAAAAGAATGAGAGATTTGTGTATAGAGATTGTGAATGGAGCATTCTGTGAAGTGAATGGACTATGTTGGGTTACCAAGTATGCTAATTTTGTTTACATTACTACAGCATTTGTTGATCCCAAACATAGGACTGGGCAGACCAGTTGTTTCATTCGTAAACAAATATTGGCCATGATGTTTTCTTAGAGAATAGAGTTGTTGGCTGGAGAAACTTCATTTCTGTACCTTTCAGCTTTTCCTAGTCTCTAACAGACCTCTTGGTGGACTAAAAATTGTAGACACTGGCTAAAATAGGAGGAGCATTTTATCATCAATTTTTACTCTTTTCTTCAGTCTGCCTCCAGGTCTGGTAGAAACTAGCCTTCCTTGAGTCAGCTGGTAAGTCACTTGATTGAGATAAATCTTCGAGCAGTTTAAAGGTCACTCCCTGAATCTCAAAGTACGCATATTTAGAATTAACCATCAAACAATCGGATGTTTTTGTTAGTAGCAAGCATCCATCTACCTCTTGAGACGACAAATAATTTAAACCTGCACATGTGTATTTGGATGAGCCAACCACTCCCTCCCTTTGCAGCCAAGGGCTTGCTATGAGCTTACAAATCTTTTAATTTCATGGGACTGAAGCTGAAGGGCCTGCCATTCAGCATCGACTCAGTACTTCAGTAATTACAGACATTAGACTGTATGGTTTTCATCCACTTTACACCTGGCATATTCATACTGTATGTGAGGTGGGTTCTTTAAGTTTAACGTGCAAGTTGCTGAGTTTTCCAGGAGCAATCCTATCCTGTGCACGTCAGTTTTCAGTAACCCACTAGATGTTAGCAAAACATGATCATGACAGTAATTCTTATCTTGACAGTGACAGATCCAAAGCTCAGATATTCCAATAATGTATGTCTGTCTGTCAGTCTGTCTCTCAGTATGTCTGAAAATATCAGGTTTATGTTTGTTGAGGAAGATTGCTGAGATTTGGTACGAATGTATGGATTACGCAACAATAACCAGACTTTGTAACAGACTATTTTCCATCCTGTTTTGGTGTAATTAATCCTGATTGAAACCTGACACAACAGTAACTTACTACAAACTGCATGCTCATGAAACTAGACAAAATGAGGGGAGAACTACTTCAATGATTTCAAACTTACTTGGTGAGCAGGCAAACAGGGACCTCATATTTTCCACAAAAGCCCATTTTCCTACCTAGTTTTAACACAATACATAAGCTGCTACACGTCCATTTGTTTCGGTCAGGGAATATTTTGTTATTTTTTACAATGCCTTTAGGCTGCAATTACGTGAAAGAATGAAAGAACACTAGAAACACACTGAATCGTAGAAAGGGCCCCCCCAAAAAAATGAGAAAATAATTCCCAACCAAAACATGCTAATGTTGGAGAGTAACATTTCTTTTCTAACTTGTCAAAAGAAATGATGATGACAAGGCTTGCCCAAAAGTCATGAACTGGAAGGCCCCCTGGAAGCTGCTGCACTGTCTGGAAGAAGTAAACTGATTCTGGTCTATCTTTGTCTACTAATTAGTGGATGGTTTGGGGGCTGAGTTTATCTGGGCTCCCATCTAGGCATGGTGGCTAAATTGCTGTTTACAGGGCAGCTCAAGCCTGGTCCCCTCCTAGTTCTGGACTGACTCCAAGTACAAAGAAACCCTTTTACCCTTATTCCTGGCAGCTTTACCTACCTACCCTGCAAAAACCATCACCCTGGTCCAGACATGAATCCACTCAGGGAAAGCAAAACAAGAGGCGGGTACTTCATATTTTGAGCAGTCAGGGATGACCTGTGTATCTGGGGTCAGGAGTTCTGCTGCATTTCTCATGACTTACTCACTCACTTTGTTCCCTGCAACAACCAGTTAATTCTGTGTGAAATATTGTCCCAACTGGCACCCCTTCCTGGTCATGATAGTTTATTGTTCAAATGTTTTTCTTTCCAGGGACCATGGGGAGAAAACAATCCAAAACTTTTAGGTACAGATGGAAGTTGCAGATGTGGGGTGAAATGGACACCTACCCCTGTCTGTGGGACCTGTCTAAAACTCAGCCAAGAACACGTACCTTGGCACATGTGCATCTCTGGCCACCCTGACCTAAGACAAGGCGTTGTTGTCTTGCTTCTTATCTGGCAGCAGGTTGGTCCTGTTCCCACGGTATCACATCACCCCTTTCCCTGGACCAGGAACTTTGCCATTCACCCACCACATCCCCTAACAAGGACTCTACAGCTTGCAGTCATGACAGATTGGAGGAAAAGTTGCTCCTAAGATTATCACTTGGGAACTACCTTGTGGCTTTTGTGTAATCAGAATCATACAAGGTCTCTTTGTTCGTGGGCTACTTTGTCATTTGTATGGAGAGCAAAGCTCTTACCTGACCAAAGGCCATCAAGGGACTAGGCATTTTGTCCTCTAGATAATCAAGTGCTTGTGGGCTACAGGCAATCAAAAGCAGCCCTCCCTTTTGAGGTTAACTGCAGCACAGGCAGCAAGCCAATAATTAGAAAACAACAATGCCCATATTGAATAGCCTGAAAGCATTATTCATTATTCAAAGTCTGACATTTCTAAGGTTTTCCAGGGAATATTATCATCATGTCAATCAGCCCCAGTTGTTTTTAATCAGAGATACATTGCCATCCCAGGGTAATTATAGATGAAGATATTGATTTCATTTAGGGACTGCCCTGATGTTAGATTTTGTCACACCTCCCTAGCAAGATGAGATAATTTGCGATGTGTCATGGATTTCTTGAACTTCATCCAATACCAAAAATCCTTTATTAAACTTGAACATGTAGTTTCCCCATTTAGTTATACATGCAGCAGTCTTAGATCTCATTAGTGGGAGAGAACCTGGGCTAAGACTATTTTTTAGACCATCTCTCAAACTCAAAGGCAGTAGGCTGTTTATAATGATAGAATTGCCTCATCCTCTTTCAGAAATATTCATTTGTTCAAACTACCTGGACTTGATAAATTATGATTTTTTTGTGTCTTAACTACAGCAAATGTGCTGGCATTGACAGAAATAAAACTAATTTTTATTGAATCGAAATAATGGGATAAAGGTAATTTTTGCAGCGGCAAACTGTCCCCACTAAGTGATCTGTACTTGTGTTATGAATATTTGGCAGAAGTTGACCCTATGAACCCAGTATTAAAGGCTATTGATTGAAACTCTATATTCCCACTGAGGACATGCCTGTGCAATTTTGCCCAGGAGCACCAAAAAATTGATTATAACTGCTGAATTAAAGTTGCATACCTGCAAAAACTTAAAAGAAATCTATCATCCTAAAGATGGGGCTGACTGAGAGGAAGGATCACTTACATCTGTGTTGCCACCTCGACCAATATTACCCAAATCCTGGGGAAACTCTCATTATTATTCAATATTCCGGCTTGAACGTGATGAGATCTCTCTTCTATCCCACTCCCTGGGATGAAGTTTATAATATACATTGTGTGGTGACCCAGGGTTATCACCCCACGGCGCAGGACACAGGATGGGAGGGGTAGGCAGGGCGACAGGGATGTCACAGGTAGAGGCAAGGAACCTGACAGAACATTCCACATAATGAGAGGCACTTGTATCTGTCCAGCCATGAGCAAAAATAAGAGTGTGTTTGTATGATGAACAGTGGAAGGAATTAGGTATGATGAGATGGGAGAGGAGCACAAATAGAGGAACCTGGCACTGTTGTGGTGTCTGAGAAGATTGCTAAAATAAATTTGACAATTGTATGTTATGCTCTAACCTTGTACATATGTTGCATAAATGCACACATTTGTTAAATCATTAACACTTCCAGCATTACATTAAAAATAAAGCACTCACTACATGCTTATAAATTCATGAATTAGCATGAGATATGAGCTGTAGTACATAGATATTATTCACAAATGTTTCACGAATGAAGTTGTTTGAATCATTTTTGAGACAAACATTTCAAAACATATCCATACCATTCATTGAAATTTAGAAGTCCACATATTAATTATTGACTAATTTAATAATAGTAATAAGAAGAATAAAAGTTATCTTTTAGCTTTGTTAATTGGTTTGACAACAATAATAAAAAATCATCCATAACTTTAGCCTTAAACTGATGGAGGTATGTTCTAGATTTATTCAGTCAAGCCAATGTAATCATTGTTCTTTGCTCATACCAGCACATATAAATAATGGAATTCACATTTCCAATATCTAAAATTCCTCCCTCACAAAGAAAGCAATTATCTTTCATTATCATGTTTGTTTACAAATATATATCTTTAACACACAACTTAGAAGAACCTTCCTCTATTGCCAACTGTGGGGATAAAACATTGGGTGGGTGGTATGTACAACATGGCATGTGTCTTACATGAGAATCAGTGCCAGAGAAATGTGCTGTGTGGGACTTTTACCACGCACGAGATGTTACTATGGTGAAAATAGCCTTTTAGCAGCTTAGGCAGTGCTGCATACAGCAACAATCCACTTCTATTTACAGCTGAGCACATAATATGCTCTGTGATATGTGCCAAAAGGATATATGAACTGCAACCGTAGGATGTTTTTATCACAGATCTACTGCAGGTGCATGATCATCATGTGCCAATTTACCACAGGACACAGGTAACTAGCGTTTGAAGTTGACAACCCCAAAGAGCTGCTCTAGTATGATATTGTTTGATGATGATAAGTTAGCAACTATGCCATTTTGGTGATGTGCAGTATCTGGCAGATTTTAAAATGTTTATTACGTGAAGTATTGAGTAGCAAGTAAATTTTGATAACAAGAGCTGTTCCAGAAAAAAAGAATAATAAAGGAGGTTGAGATAAAAAGAAAACGATAATGTTTAAAAAAAATATAGTTGGAGATGCCCGACTAAGTTGAAGAGCATGGGTATAGGAAACATTAACGCCACAGATGAAGGTTACTGAAAAACTTGGTGATGTTTAGTGACTTTCAATGTTCAAACACATGAACTTGCAGATCTATGCGACTCAGAGACCTGAACACCTCTGAGCCTACTGTATACATTCACTTAACAAGCTCAATGTTTGCCCGAAAGTTGAGTTGATTCTTTGAAAATCAACCTGCCTATAATACCCTTTATATGTGAAACTTGGGAGGGCTTGTGAGTGGCTCCAGTCCAATTTATGTTTACAGAATTTAACCTATGTTTCATCAGACCACAAAATATTACATGGTCCTTTTTTACAAGAAATAACATAGCTATTTTTTGGCTCTAAAGCCAATAACTTTTTCTTTGGCCTTACCCTCTGTTCAATATTCTATACTCTTTTACAAACACTATTGGAACAGGTAGGATTTATTCCTCCTGCGTTATAGTTCTACAGATATAACATGACATCCTTACAATGGACAGGATAAGGATATATATATATAAAAACATATTTTTAAGATTTTATTGAAGTATTTATAAAGGAGCAAAGAGCAGGGCAAGAAGAACATTATGGAGGAAACTCAGTGTACTACAAACTAACCACCATCATTCAAAGAAAAGAAGGGAAAGGCACCCATAGGGACTGGTAAGGGGAATACCTGGAAGCGTCGCATGTCTCGTGGATTACCAGCGTTCTTCAAGCAGTTTTGATTGCACTTCAGGAAAGCCTTGAGGAAAAACCTGCATACAACACAAGGGGATACACCACGATTACTTAACATGCAAGAATAGGGCAAAGTACCTGAAAACGGCGCATGTCCCTTGGATTGCCCGCATTCTTCAGACAATTCTGATTGCATTTCATGAAAAACTTCAGGAAAAACCTGCAGGGAAGAAACAGAAGCATCAATAACATAAACTGACACAACATGAATGTAACATGATGGCTGAAGCTTGGCATTAAAAGATGTAAGTTAATTACAACCTGCAAAATGTAATTACTGGGGGCAGTCTGTTGCATTTGCACTTGATCCTGCTCTTATGCAGCATCATGAGTAGACACGGAAGACCTTGTATATTTATCAAACACAGGATTCTGTTGACAGCTGAGTGTATGAAAATGGAACATCATATTTTTGTAGACTTCAGTAAAAAAAAAAGAATTTCAAAGCCAACAGAAGGTGTGTCAAATAAATGCAAAACTGCCACTTCACATGGATCAATTTGGAGGTTCGTGTAGCATGCAAAGGACCTGAACATTTCATCAACAATGACATCCCAGCTACCCTACCACAATCTCCTGGCACTGGGGGGAAGTACCAATCTAATAATTTTCAATTCAAATCTCAAAGCACTGCCGATCAGGCTAAGATTATATACCAACCAGTAACAAGGGTCAAAAAATTTCACAAATTGACAGGAAATTGACCTTGTTTAAGTAATTTTTTCGACTGCAACAGACCTCTGTATACTGCGAAGGAAAGGAGCATATTTCAGAGATGAATATAACTTCCAAACATTGGCTGAAGGGGGAGTCAGGAAGTAATACCACAGAATAATATGCATTCAATATGCACATTTAAAATGATCACTGACATTCATTTATCAAAATGTCAGTACCTTTCTGTTTTATGGAAAGCATTAGAAGAGTGATGTCATCCAGCGTTGCAATCAAATTTGCCATTTCAATCATGCACCAACATGAATATATTTCTTACCAAAATCATTTTTGCGGGTCATGGCCTTGATGCAGTGTGAAGGATTCTCCTGGTTAAATTTTACTGGAACTTTGTACTGTTGTCATCCTTGTTCATTACAGTTGCTATAACAGTGGCTACTAATTGGCATCTCAGCCAATAACAATAAATTCGACATAAAAAATACACTTTCTCCAACACAGTCAGAGGTGGGTTAAAATCCTTCATCCTCTTTACTTCTCTACAGCCAACAAGATCCTCCCCTAATGGAAACGCTGTAGAAGAGATTTCACTCTATCGACCGTGCCCCCCTCAACAGGTGATGGTGAAATCACTGTAGGTGGGTCTCAAATGGTACTGATGTCTCGGCTCTAGCCCGGAATTGCTTCAACACCATATCCACCCCTGGAGACAACCTCCCCATAAACAGGCTTGCCCAACTATGAAATTGTTATTTAACTTCTCTAATTTAATACCAAAAAATAACGCCTTTTTTTTAAAAAGGGCTGATGAAAACAATTCCCCGAAGAAAAATGATCGCACAAAGGATTTGGGACATTTGCAACACAGGTGTACAAGATACTACAGATAATGATACACAGGAGCTGGAGCATCCTTCCCATCAATTCATACACTGCTTTTCCTGTCTTTTGTTCCAGGCTGTGACTCAGACATGGTATTCAGGGAGGGGTTCGGACTGGCCACCATTTCCAGGATTTATCACTGGACAACACCTTCCATTACGAGGCCCTCCGATAATTACAGCCCTTCCATGCTCATCGCTCACGCAGTTTAATCATCAGTCTGTGTACTTGGTGGGCAGAGGAGCATCCAGCTAATGCACAGCTCGCTAGCCCCGTACACTCCCATCAAAACCTGATTAGGACCTGGTAAATCATTAATGGGGGCTTGGAGGTGAGCAGGAATGATTACTTCTAATGCATGTGATGTAACTTAATGAGAGGCATGCCTGCAAGCTGCCACCACAAACCATTAGTTTGCCTTGAGAAATGTGCCCACTATTAAGGTAGATAAAGATTGCCCTTTGGAGATGGCTCCATCTCAATACCCCCCTCCTGGAGGAAGTGGTGAAACGGAGGATCAGCGTGCCAGGCGGAAATGTAGCACCCAGGTAGATGGCACAGATAGTGGGGCTGTCTCCCAGAACCCAACACCCTCACAATCACCTAGCCATCAAGGACATCAATTATTCATGGTAAGAAGCATCTAGTTGATGGTACCCTTGTTTCATGATAAAACATCAGGGACAGAAACATGATCCCCTGACTTCCTTCTCCCCAATCTGTGGATATACAGGGGTTGAGCCTGAAGAATAAAACCCAATTCAGGCAGAAGTCACAGGTCCTTAAAACTGCTTTCTTTTTAATCCTCTAAAAGCAGCAATCATATAAATAATTCAACAATATTGATGGCAATCAAATGAGAGGATGGAATCCAATTTTAATATTTTATGGGTGTTAAAAGTCCTCACACAATGATCTTTATTTGTGTACCCATTGTTACTTCTTCCCCCGGTGGCTCTAATATATTTACAAAACCAGTAATGTGGGATGATAGATAGGCTGCAGTTTCTATTAAGATGCATGTGACAGTGTTTCCCCCACACCAGCCACTGGAGTAATTAACGCCCACATACACTTGAAATTTAAAAACAAAACAAAGTACAGTGATTTTTTAATGCTTGAATACAGAACGGTGAACAATAAAGAGAGTATATTAATATTTTTCTGGCTTTCTCTCATGTAAGACTCACTAAAACCACATAGTTTAAACCTTATCCTGAGATTTTGAATAAGAAATATCTTACACTCAACAGTAAGAATTTCATGCCATACCTGCAAACAGATTTCTGCAGTATTGTTTTGCATTTTCACCTTGCTATGAGAAAAAATTCACTTATTTGGATGTTGAGAGATGACATTTATTTTTGATCAATTCATCTCCTATTGTACTCAAATATTAAAGGTTCAATGAAGGTATATTGTAGAAAAAATATACTTCTAGAAGTGACACCTCAATGAAAAATAGTCTTAGGGCAATACTGACGGAGCATTTACAGTTAAATAAAGATGCAAACAAGCAAACAGAATTATTGCTTTTGGGCATGTCAGCATGATAGTCTGTACCACTACTATGCTGACAGGTATATATGGTATGCTCTACCCAGGCAGGAGTTGAGATGGGAAAATACTATGCTGCGCCCAAGCTATCATGATCTATAATAAAGAAAAGAGCCCTGCTTGCCAGCAATAATCAGTATCTTTATGGAGAGCTTATTCTGCCTGGGAGCCATTCACCCAACATATGCAGACTTATCTCACATCAGACCCTCGGCCTAACTGCTTCTCTGCCTCACCATCTGCAAATTGCATTTTCTTCTATCAGGGTTGTTTATATGTGCTAACCTTCAAATAAATGCAATTGATTCACTTTTTCCGTCTCCATAAATTTTCGTGCAAGGAAAAGCAGGGCTACGATATTTTTTTTCACATGATACAAGCCAGATTATAGGATGATGAGTCAACATCCACTGTAGCCTGACATCATGCAATGTCTCCATTGGTCTCATGATTCGTCAGACTTGAGCCATCAAACTGGAGCCACCAGGCGACCTCGCATAATACCTGTCTGCAAGTAAATTGGAAGGTAACTTACTTCACTGGCTTCTCCTGCCCACTTTCCTCCCCTCCCAGTGCCCTTAGGGAATCTGGATACACATTTGCCCACTGGAACATCGCAGGTGTGCCAGGCACTTTTCATCACTGAGTACACTTCCTTTAACCTTAACACCAGGGAGGCTTTCAGAAATCCTTTGTAAGACCGCATGACACTAAGTGCAGTGAACTAGCAATAATGCAATTACTGCCTCTTGTTACCATCTTTACCTCTTTTTGATTTTGAACCTCAATTTTTCTCGCATGTCCAGCGTGATAGTGGAGTCCTTCCATCACATTTATCTCAATTTTTGGTGGTTTGTGAGAGGGATTTCCAGTGACATTTGAAGGAAGCTCCTGGCTGGTGCTGGTCACCACCAATCAAAGAAACAGATAACGTGCTGGCCTATCTCATCATGTACTTGGCACCTCCTAAATTGTTAAGTATGCCACAATCGATCTACTTATGGCATGGCTTCATTAACGATTCAATAAATCTACTGCTATATCTTCAGAATTAGTCTTCATTGATTTTGGGCAATTTTCCAATTTTGATGCAAATGGACCACTGACCATTTCAGAGAACAAGTAATTGGCATTTCTTTCAAGACAGCAGAATTAAGTCTTAAATTATTTTCAATTATTTAGCTTTAGTTGGAGGCCATTTACAACAACACTTTTGCTACATTCATCATACAAAAACTGTGTTAACCAGAAACTTGCTTTGCTTATATTTTCTGTGTTAGCCATTGTAATGAGATAAAAATTGTTTTGTAAAATATATTTAAGTAGTCAAGTACATGTAGTATGATGTACTACGAGTCTGTGTCAGTACAGTATGTGACCAGATGTTTGGTACTGACATTTCCAGCAGACAGAACACTGTGGAATCATGAACCATGGTACTTGAAAAGTCATCAGCTGTTCAAGAAACAAAGAGGCCTTTGGCTTAATCACTGATCCTGGTTGAGATCACCACATTGATTAACTGTTAGTACCATGTACCAACTGAAGTCCTACTTGACAGGAAGGTTAACATGATTAAGTATGGGCATATTGCTGCTCAATTCATTTCACACAATCCTTTCAGATTGAACCAACCCATAACAGTAGCTCTATACAATAGAACACAAGTTTCCATGTCCATATAATATAGGCGGTCTCTAGGTGCTTGTATTTTTATACCAATAACTAAATAAATGGATTTGGAAAAAAAAATTATCAAGTACCTTTACTTTAGAGGTTGGCTTACCTTGTAGAATCTGTCTATGAAAGGTCACTGACCTCAGGTAAGTGAGAGAAGACTTCTAGGTTTAAATGATAATTGACAACAAGAAGAGACTTACATGAGGCTTTCGGTACAAAAGCG